TCTGTCTTTCTATTAGATTATAAGAATGCTCTCTGCTGTGCTGCCACTACTGTGCTTTATCCAAAGTCTGAAATAGGACAAAGAAGACAGACTCCCATTCTTCCTTTTGCTGGACAACAAAGTCACAGGATTTTTTGCTTGCTTCTTCTCTGTGGATACAGGCATGCAATCCATGCAATTTGTACAGCAATCCAGCTCCAGCAGGAGAGACAAAGAAACCACCTGCCTGAAAAAAGGTGATTAGGGCACTCTCTTGGAAGGCAATTACAGCTTCTGGAACACTTTAGCAAACATTTTTTTAAGGAGCTGAGTTCTCAGAATGTCATGCTTTTGATCTATGCAGAAGGTAGTAAAACAGCTAAGATAAACAATAAGCAAAGAAGATGTACCTTTCCTTGGGATGCGGGAAGGAAAATAGGAATCTGGCCCTGGAGGACCCATCTCGCCCAGCTCCCCCTGTCAACAGAAGTTGAAGTATCACACCGAAGCACATTATTACAGAGAATTTATTTTAAAATGGAAAGGTATGCCCATGAAACACAAAACCCCAAATTACCAAAGGCATTGACATGACATTTAAGAAACCTCTAAGATATCAAATTAACAAACCACATAGCTGGTTCTACAATGACATGATGACATGATGACAGAAAAGGAAAGAAAGCAAAATGACATCTGGCTTATTGCTTCTAGCAGATGAAAGTAAAGCATTACCTTGCTTCCTCTGGGACCATGGCCACCAGGTGGACCATCAAATCCTGGAAAACCCTGTAATATACATAAAAATGATTGACTTTTCCTTTATCAAAGACAGACTAGAATTATTTGGTCTGTAGCAGTTCCTGTAATACCAATAAGATTCCTTGTCATTTGATGTCTCACCTCTTGGACCAAGCCTAACTCTTGCCAAAAGCCAAAGGGACCTGCTGTGCTGCAGACTCTGTCAAGCCTGGCGGTGGTGCAGATGGAAGGAGCACCTACACTCACACCATTCTATGGATGCTGCAGGGTGCAGGAGGAGAAAAGGGGATCCCCTCCATGCTAGTTGAAGCTGAGACACATGGGCCAGGCAGCCAGACCACACCAGACTGCTGCAAGAAAACTAAATGAGTCAGAATCATTAAAAGTAGACACTGGACTGGAAACAGTGAGCAGTGAAACAGCACTGAAGTACACAGGTCTTTTTTGCTCTTTTCCAGGTGGCTGGAGACTGTTTGTCTGAAGAAGGGCTGAATGAGAAGAACTCAGAAGCAACCAGATTTCAGAGATGCTGATGAGATGAGATCATCTCTTCTGTGTGTTTTACTCAGCTCTTTGACAACTTTTGCCCACTACAGAAAATGTTTATGTGTACTCTGGAAAGAGGCTGGCATTAAAAAGGTGTGCTTTTAGCAGAAATCAGTGTCCAGATCAACAACTGATGTCAAGTAACACAGTTTTGCTGAAACCAGTAATTTTGCATAATTCACACTTATAATTAGATTATTCGTTTTTTAAATCTCAGCATCTCTCGGGTTTCATAGTGGGTACAACTCTTACCCAGAACTTGAATGTTAATAACCAGCTCTGTAAGTCACTCTTGAAGTAGTTTTGAAGCACTAACAATACTACAGCTCTCAACAAGATGCTGCAAACCTGATCACATTTCAGAGACTTTTCCATAACGGCAAGTGTACATCACACCATTGGAAAAAGAGGCTCGTGATTATCAGGTGTAAAATCTCTTTACACTAGGTGGAGCTGGTGGTCTAAAAGCAAAGCCAGCCGCTTCCTACTTGACTGCAACTTTATCTGTGTGCTAGCAGGACTTAATCATCCTTCTTTCTTTCTTAAGAATAAAATCACTCAAAAATCAACAAAAATGAGGTTGTAAAGAGCACATAGAGTAGGATGTCCCCTCTCACACACACATGATACAATGATAGTCCATCCAAACCAATGTACCTTCTGTTAAAACTATTGCCAAGATTCATCCTCAAAAAGGAGCAGCCACTGCTCTCATCTGACTGGAGCATGAACCCATGTTAAGGTCACCAGTGGGCTTTAATGGGTTTTGCATGAGCCTCTCCATGTATGTATTACTAATAGCAATTCCCTTCCATACCACCAGGACAGAGTAGCTGTGCAAATGTTATTTTTCAGATTTCGTGTACTTTCATGTCCCATGTGTTTTATGTTATCATTGTTATGCCTTGGTGGCAGGACAAATCTTTAAACAACTAAAGATGGCAAAGCATGGAAAAATCATGCATCCCACAGCTATTTACCTCATGGAAGTGATTTCTAATGCTGACTAAAGAAGCCTTTTTCTGAGACCAAACAGAAAGCCTCTGTCTGACAGAATTCTATTTTAAATATTTGGGTGTGTTTCCATGGGGATAGAGATTTAAGTAGTATATTTATCAGTTTCCATCTCTTCTCCCTTTGTGATATCCAAGATAACCATACATCTCAACAACATCTGCTGAAAGCTGTTCAAAAAAGTTTCTGCTTGTAGCAGGAAAATTACAGAAATCATAATCACAGTAATTAGAAGAGTGAATGCAACACCTCCCTGTAGTGCTCTCAAAAGATGCTCATGGTTTAAGCAAAACTGGACTTTAATCATAGGGTAATTTTTTTCTCACTGATGAGAAAAAGAACTGACCCAAAATTAGAATGATGGCTGAACCCAGACGATATTTGTTAGACTACAGCTAGTGTAATTGCAGGCTGTATTTGTCCTCTACAGTTTACTTTTCAGAGAGATTGTCTACATATGTATTAGAAACAACAGCCTTGTATGAAATACTCACTCTTTCTCCACTGAGTCCTGGAAAACCACTGATGCCAGGCAGTCCCTATGAAAGTACAATAAAATTAACAAAATAAAATGACATTCTAACACCTCGTGGCAAAGAACCATTATTATTTATTAGATAAAATAAATCTAACAGCTTAAAACTCTAACAGTCATACTTCAGGTATGTTTTCAATTAGGTTTTTGTATGGTGCAAACAGTACAAGTCTGAAATCTAATATGGTATTTTATTTTTTCTCTCTTAATCAATACATTGTAAATCGACTATAACAATTTTAAAGATGACTGAGATCTTTTAAAAAAACGTATTCTCAGTACTGTTCTTACTCCGTTTAAGCACTTCAGAAATACTGCCCCAAAACAAACAGTCACAGATGCTACAAGGAAGATTTAGATTGATTTTTGTTCGAGTCCACCAGTAAGTGGAGTCAGACTCATGTTTGTTAACCATGGTCTGCAGAGAGCTCAGATGGGAACAGGGAAGAACAGTCTGAGCAGAGGACCAGGACAGCAGCTGTGGTTAGTGAGCACAGCTGCAGGTGAGAGATGCACAAGGCATACCTTGCCATTCTTTGCCACACCTGTGAGTCCCGTGGGGTTCTCCTCCCACCACCATTTCAAAATGGACTTTTTACTTTCTGCTTCAGGCCATTCTGAGCTGGCCAAACCCATCGATCTGAAGAACTATAATTTCTATGATTTGTTCATCTGTGTTTTGTTCCAGAAGGCAAACTCCCATCTCAGATCCACACATTCAGCAGAGGGAATTCTACCCTTAATAAGTGACTCACCCTTTGTCCTGGGTAGCCCATTACCCCTTCTTCACCTTTTTCGAGAGGAAAGAGAAGCACACCCTAGGAAAGATTGCATGTCAATTCAACGTATTTCTTCATTATGTGCAAAATAATTGCAACACTGTTTTATGGAAGCTAAACAGGAAGAAAGCATCATTGTAACACAAGGAAAATCTAATAATAGCTGCATGTGAAAGAACTGTTGTCCTTAAAATTAAGTGTAACATGCTTGCTTCATTACAATAGCAGGAGCAGGCCATTAGAGAGAGGATAGTGTCTCCCTCCTATCATCTCCTTTATTTCTTCTGTGTCTGCAGCTCTGAAGAAGAGCCAAAGCAGTTATTCAGCTATACAACCAATTAAGCAACTCAGCTTTTGCCCAAACTGAGAGCTATTTGGCAAACACAGGCATGCTGCTATCCATCCTACTGTACAAAACAAAAGAAAGGGAGAAACACATATCCTCTTTTGCTACATCAGCATATAAGCTACAGTTTTCCTAATGGCTAAAAAAAATCCTACATGTGTAAAATATGACCAGCAGCTGAAGAACTGGCTAGCAACCACACATGGAGGGCATCAAGGCTCACAATGTGACCTTCTCCCATAACCTTGTGGAGCTGCTGACCAGACCATCTGAGAAAATAAAGCTCTACAAAATGCTCAGTGAGGCATCTCTGCTTGGTAAAGACTGTGTTTTAAACCCCTCTGGGAAGTCAAAAGGAACCACTCAGTGGCAAAGCTATTTAGTCAGTCTAGAGGTTGTCTATGAGTTATAACTAAACCATGTTCAGTCAAGCTGGGTTGACAGCTTTACAAATTACAGCAACATATGGGATTACTGCCCACTTACTCAACAGACCTAAAAAACCATGAGACAAAAAGTCTGTATGTGTTGGACAGTAGGCTAAAAATAATTAAAATATTTTTCCATATATTCTTATTTAATAAAATATAGTGAAATTTTAAAACATAGATCAGAAGAGTAAGTAAAGAGATTTATTAATAATTAAAACTAAAATAAAAAATGTGTGAGGGAAAAATCTTATCTCAGTAAACCAGTGAGAGAACAACTGATGGTGTTGTGCAGTTATTACACATCAAGTTGCTCATTTTTTCTGAAGCATTAGAACTGATGTCTCTCTTTATAACACATCTATATTGCATCACATCAGTGAAGAGTGCACAAGTATTAACTCCAATATTATTATTTGACTTTGTTCTTCTCCACATGACTTACTGGAATTCCAGCTTCCCCTCTTGGTCCAGGGTCTCCTCTTTCACCCTAACAATAAAGAAATAGTATTCAGATAGGTTTGGCATTCCCATTTGCATTTCAATAACTTTCATACAACACAAAATGTCTGATAAAGACAAAAGACACTACTCTTGTGCTGTTCTTTATTCATACCCTTCTCACATGAAATGAATGCTTTCATAAGAAGTTCCTTTTAAAGAAATATTTGATAATTTTTCTGAAAAGGTGTCTAGGAATGTGAATGCTGAGCTCTTTCCAGGCTTGTTCAAGAGATATCTGGGTGGTGAGTGCTTAAGTAATGCCTTTGAATAAATGCACACACTCCCATTTTTACCTACTGATTATCTATGAATTATGTGATCAAGAGCTCCTGTTAGGGTAAGACAAATCATAGCCTAAATTCCACTCTCTATATTGATGATATCTCCATTGCATATAACAACTCTCCAGGTAAATAGTTCACTTGTGGTGGGTGTCTCTGCTTAGTCATGAAAATCTCAGCATGTATGTTATTTAGGGCAGACTGCAGAGTATTAAAAGTATTTTTAGATCTTTCAGTAACATAGCAATTTACACATCTAACTGCAGAAGTCGTATGAGCCACATAAACTTTCTAACTTCAAATATTGGATGAAAAATAACTGGCCTGGAGTTTGGTGTTTGATACAGAATATAGACATACAGGAAGTGATTGCATCTGCTCCCAGCAAGAAGCAACAGATGAGAATAAACTGCATCTTGCATGTGGGGATTTCTCCAATATGTATGAATAAGCCTTAACTCTCATTATATAAATATCTGCATCACATAAATAAGTTACCAAAACAAACACAGTAATGGTTCCTTAGCAGGCATTTCTGCTGAGATGTGAGTGATGGCCAGTAGTTGCATGCTTAAACAAAAAGAACAAGTTGGCCAAAGGCACCTCTAAACTTGAGAAATAACTTCTGAATTACTTAAGCCACCATAGTTTCAATAAATACTGTATGATCCAAGCTTGTGAAAGTAGCAGATTTCTCTCTTGATATATTGAAATCTTTTAAGTTTTATATGTTAAAGCATGTTTGTACAATATTTTGCTTTTGGTAGTGCAGAGTTCTTAGTTCCTTGTTTATTTCAGAAAAATACCCTCTTAGTTACCTTGTGCTTGTCAGAGGGGACACCCATCAGTTCTCTTGTAGGAAGCCCTGGTGGACCTGGAGGACCTGGGGGGCCCTGCAGGAAAAACACAAAGGAATATTTACTAACAGCTCTAATACCTGCTCAAGCTGTTGATCAGCAGAGGCTCGAGGACACTTCAATCAAAGGAGCACCACAGATTTGCTCCTGCTGGGAGTATGGTTCTTAACCATATACAGCCATACCAAATAAATTTATGGCAAGATATATTAATTTTGTGCTGGATTAACATATAGCAATATTTGCTCTTGCCCTGTGTGTTGCCAGAACAACAGCAAAGATTATTGCATTACATAAAATGGCCTGGCTTTATAAATTTCAGAAGTGTTACCTCTGTGTCAGTGTAAATGAGAGAGCACAGAGAGACCTAGACATGCAGGGGTTTGTTTATAGAGATTATAATTACTTTCATACCTATACTTCATTTTTCTCTTATAATTATATAATGCAATTGCAAATGAAGAGAGTATTTAAAATATGTTCATTTATAAATAGCAGATAACATCCACCTGCCCTTCACTAGTGATACTAATTAATTAGTTTTTCTTTACCTGTTCACCTTTTTCTCCATAGAAGCCAAGGCCCCTGTTGCCCTGCAAAAACAATCGGTCAATGTTTACCAAGTGTACAACTCTAATCTAGTCTAAAATTCAAATTTAAACATGCTTAAAGGGATTTTCAGGCTTACAAGTCTGTATGACACCACTGAAAAACTGCAATCAAATAATAGTCTAGGTTTACCTTGAAGTATTTTTATAGCTTTAGAAGTAATTTTACAGACCTAAACTTTTAGAAAGACAACTCTATTTAAAATCTCATGCTACCAGTTCTTCTTTGAGTCATCCACTGAGTAATGCAATTAAAAGATCAACCATTTCTTCTGCAAGATTTTTAATAGCCTTGAATGCTAAATAAAGACATCTAAATGGGCTGGAACAATGAACTCATATATTTTTTCCATGGAAATAAAATTGAATATTGTGAAGACTGCAAGCATTCTCTATTCATGGGAAGCTACTGTGACTACAGTAGCAAATTAAATCTGGCTCTAGAACTGGTTTAATCTTTTCAGGGTAGGTGATCTCAGTGTAAGATTAACTTCCCATGTTATGCAGCCAACACAGAAACTCTTGTGCTACACAACCTTTGGTGCAGCCCGTGGTTCTGTCTTACTGCCTTCAAGTAGGCCTTGGATAAACCTCAGCAACACAAAATCAACATTAATGACTCTGACACAAAGACTTACTTGTGGTCCTGGGGGCCCTGGGGGTCCTGGTGGTCCCTGAGGAAGCACAATAGGGGAGAGCAAGTTACTTGCTGCTTTCTAGTCAATGCATGCAGGAGGTTAGCTACTCTCTGCCTGAAACCCAAGTATGTCTGTTAGTAGGGAGTGTATTCCTCAGCATCCCATGTGCTGTTGTTACTATATTAGCTGTATTTACTGTTCTGAAAAATACCTTCCTAGGTCACATTGTAATCTTTCTGAACAGAATGACAGTTACCCAGCTTAACTACAAGGAAAACCCATTTTTCAACTAATAAGAACTTGTGCTTTTGGACCCTGACTAAGCAACATTTTAAGCTCATACCTAAAGTTAAGCACATCTTTAAGTGCTTCACTGGGCTGCTGTTTAGGTACTGTATTGGTCTGTAAGGGAGCTGAACTACCATAAGCATCTCAGATTACCTATTTGGGATTATACAGAACAAAATCAAAAGAAGATGGTGGAAAATGGAACTAAAACAGGAAATGTATGTGCCAGAGGTTTACAAGAGGTAGGAAAGCCATTAATTGATGAGACAATCTCCCTTGCTTTGGTCAGTTATGGTAGTTAAGAGTCTCCAAAGGGCTCTACACATTAAAACTCTGTCAAATGAGGGAAAGATGGGGTGAATAAGAAGCTTGAGCTGTTCAGCTCATGGTGAATGGGTGACATAGAAAGGAGAGAAGATTGCAGATGGAACTGTCCACCTAATGAGCCCTGAAGGGGATGCTAGCTGCATAATGCAAAATCAAGCCTAATCTGCAAGGAAAAGATAGTAACACTGAGGTGAGACCTGAACTTTTTAGGCATACATAGCCTTGCTATGTACCTTTGTGTGCATAAATACTAGACTTGTTCTGAAAAAAACCTGCTTTTGAATCAATTTTGGTTACTTGAGTAATTTGTGAGCTACTGCCTGATTTAGTGGGCAGATGCAGAGCACAGGGAATCCCTCAGCCTGGGGAGCCTGCAGGGACCTGGGGGAGCCATGGCTGCCTTCCTGCACCACCCAGCACTTAGACAAGAGCAGTGATGCAACTCAGACTTGTGAAGTGCTCCTGGATCTCCCTCACAGGTGAGTCATAGCTTCAAAGGCAGTAAATAAAGTCTTTTATTTCTTTTATTACATGTATTTGGCTCAAAGGTGATGTTGCCAATATGGTAACCAGAGGGATGTAGTTGTGGGGCTTCCCCAAGACAGAGGCTCCAAAAATGCACAGTTCACAGCACTCCTAACATCCAAGTAAGAGCACTGGGAATATGAGTCACTGCAGGCTGGGCTCCTGTGTGAAGCTCATGGACTTCTGTGGGTTTGCTCTAAAGAAATAGTAAGTAAAGGACTGATTTCCCTTCAGGAGGACCAGTGAGAAAGAAAAGGTTTACTCCAGGTGATAAAACAGGCCAGTGAAGAAAATTAACTTTGAAAGGCTTAGCATGCTATGGATTTAGGTTTTGTTTTTCTGGGTTTTTTCTTTTGTTTGTTTTGTGGTGGGTTTTTTTGTGTTTTTTTTTTGTCTGTTTGTTTGTTCATTCGTTTGTTTGGTTTAGTTTGGGTTTTTTGGGGGTGGGAGGAGGGGGGGTTGTCCCCGCAAACAGATATGGAGGCTGTGAGTGAGAAGCCCTGAGTTAATTTTTTTTCCCTCAGATCAGGGATGTAAAGCAGATCCAAAGTAAATTTTGACAAAATAATGAAAAAAGCAAATGCTACAAAGTTGCGTTACAGGAGAATAAAAGAAGCTTAAAGAAAATTAAATCTATTGAACTTGAATAACTGCTTCTCACCCATAAAGCTATTAACCATGAAAATAAAAAATGTAGAAATTGTATCTGGAGAGAACACAGTCTTCTCAAAGAACTACACTGACACAGTTGTCAACATCAATACTGTAAATTATGATTTTGGAAAGAAATTACTGAAAATAGTTTAAAAATAAAATTGCATTTTAAATACCATTCAATTTCCTGTGGGAAGTATAGAAAGCTAATATACATAACTATGATGAGCAGAAAATATAACATACTCAAGTCATTATATTTCTGATAACTCTGTGTAGGGAGATGTTCCAAGAAGGTTAAAAAAATACAATATGAATCAAAAGCCTCTGACAGCACAGGGCAAAAACCCATATACCTCTTTCTGCAGTATTTATCCCTCAGTATCTCACAGTGCTTTTTAAAAGGTTTTATATCCATTGACACCTTCTTTGCTATTTGTAACCTAGGTTACAATCCAACATCATGGAACTTGCTAAGATAATTCTTCTGTTTGGTTAATTTTCTAGAGAACATAATTAAAATATACTTACTGGTCTTCCCCGCTGTCCTCTTGGACCAATAGGTCCTTGAATACCCAGCGTACCTGGAGGTCCCTTTAAATAAAAAAATCCACCAATTATCAATAAGTGCTGTTCTGATATTAGTTACTGTGGACACTTTATCACATCCACTGTAACACTACTTACTGGAAAACCGATGAACCCTGAATCCCCAGGATCTCCCTAGGAAAAAACAAAACCATAGAAGTAAAAAAAATGCAATAAATTCTATATACAAAATTGAATAAAATCTTTTTATTGCTCATTATTTTTTTTTCTCATTCAAACAACTAATTATAGCATGCAATGCTACTCAAACCCTTCCATAGAGATGCATTCCATAGAGATGTTGAGATAACTGAATGTGGGCCACACAGATTTCATACTTTATAGATATGGTTTAGTTGTATGCAGTAGAGTAGCAGGGTACAAAGCTGGCTAGTGAAGTTAGGGATTCAAACTACAAGGCTGAACTATACAGCAGACCACCCTGAATTTTTTGTTGAAGAATCCTACCTATCCAGTGGCTTAGTTAGGGCTATAACCTTAGCTGAAATGTCCAAGCTCATTTTTGTGAGTTGCATGGGAATTACTGAATCATTTTGATTCTCTTCTGAGTCACTAAAAGCATTTGGAACATACTGTTTTCAGTGACCACATATTTTAACTTCAGTACATGCTGAAATGTTTTTGGAAATTAGATCCAAAAATGTTCTAGCCCAAGGACCTTTCAACACACATAAATAATGTGTTATTCAGTCCAAACACCTTCAATCATTTTGAGTAGCATCTTAACTACCTAGTTAATTCGAGTTTAGTTAACAGAATAATTTGTGGAACCAAGTACTTTCGGAAATGAATGCAGGTGTCAGTATCCATCCTTGGCTACAATATAGTTGAGCATTTCTTAAACATTACTTAATCACTCCTGATTACTAACAGTGCAGATCTGAAGATGTTCTAAAAGGAAAAGAAGTTTCCATTGAAAATACAGGCAACTTACAAATATGCCAAGAGAAATTCCTATTTTGGCACTTACTGTTGGCACAAAATACACACAAACAAAGTCAGCAGATCCCTTCTGTGCTGAGTAAAGCTCAGTTGTAGCTTTGAAATCAGCCACAATTTATACTCTATGTATGTAATCACTTATCTCCTTCTTATACCTTCAAATTATGCAAAATTATATATATATGAGAAAAAGATGCAAGCGACTACAAAAAACGTTTTAAGGATTAGACACAGTAAAAGCAGCCATTGGAATACTTGAGGTTTACGAAATACCTCAATAAAAATTTGAAGGATATTTTACCCTAAGTCAATCAAACGCTTGCATGAAAACTTTACAGGAAAGGTGCTAATAGTAACCAGAAACGTTCAACGGACAAACCTATGGCAAAGAAAGGATCTTGCCATGCATGACACAAAGGTAGTCAATAGAGTCAATAGAATAGAGAGGGAAATACTTGACCTACATCATCTACAGTGCCTTCACAATCCACCTATAGGTTGACATTCATTGGAAATAACTGAATTCAGATTTTTTTCCCTTAGACATCATATAAACTTCACTGTGACCAGAGAAAGTAGAAGCTGCCTTTCAAAACCTACACAGAATCAAAGTGGGCCTCATGGGATGTGCCCATCAGAGTATAAGAAAAATTTACTCTCTATGTCTGAAAAACCGCACTGGGCAAGAATAACAGGGAGTTGCAGGCGTACCCTGTGTCGGCTGATGATCTCCGGGGCTACGATGTACGGCTCTCCCTTCTGGCCCTTGGGCCCCTGGACTCCCTGGAGGTGACCAGAAAAACCAAAACACAGTATCAGCTCTCACACCATCTATGTTAACATGCAAACAGCTAAGAGTGAAATGAAAAATATTTGTTGGTGTTGTAAGTGTACATAAGTATACTGCAGTTTAGAGGTAGAGGCTATGCCTAGCTTTGGAAATTTATGGTTTAGGAAAAAAGTGTAAACCCTCACAGTACATAAAAGAATGAATTCCTAAATTTTGGGGAGAAACCCCCCATTTTGGTTTCTCCCAATTCCTGGGAGAAACCACCAGGGAGTGGTATTATGGAGTAGCAGCTCCTAGATAGAACTGATGCTACACTTCCCAGGGCTGGCATGTGCCCGTGTAAATCCAGGAGCCTCACTGCTCACCTCTGCATGATCCTGTGTATCTCACCATGAAAAGCCAATACTCTGGCCATGGGGCAGGGAAGAAAAGGATACTTTCATCAGTAGTTTTGAGTTTAATATTATTTTATTGCTGTTGATTAAAACTGTACAGGTTTTTTTTTCCTGCAGTAATCTCTCTGCAAGGCCTGTGTGACAGGTATAGGTTTGAGCAGACCTTCTGGCCCTGGCTGCAATGCAATGACAGTGCAGTGTGTCCATGATGAGCCTGCACAAATGCTCTGCTGGGCCAAAATGCCCCACATTCCCTTCATTAAGAGATGTCCCATTAACCCAATCCACGTGTGAATGAAACTCACTCCAGCAATGTTCTTAGTTTCAGATTCTCACTTACTGCCCGCTACTTACAATGCTACCAGGGAAACCAGAGACTCCAGGAATTCCAAAGTCACCAGGGTCACCTGCTGTCCCATTACAGCCGTCATGACCTGGTTTCCCCCTTGGTCCTGGCTGGCCTGGATGACCCTGTTGAGGAAAAAAAAAAGTGTTTATCTATCCATCTGTTTCTAGTTTTCCTTTTCCTGTAGTCACAAAGTATTTAGACATTCTCACATTAAGCCCAAGGCTTGGATCCATGGGAAACTAGGATTTTCAAAGACAGAAACAGACAGTGCCTTTTTTTTAATATAGCTGCAGCTTGAACCAGATGCCCCAGACAGCATGAAAAAACGAGTAGTGAAGGACCTCTCAGAAAGGGTAAGAAAGCTATGTTCAATGCAGGCTCTGTTATACAGAGAACTAAGCCAGATGAGGCTGCTGTGCAGGGATCCACCAAGAACTGGGACTGTTAAGCATTTCAGTGCTTCATGGTGGAAGAGTGGGAAGAAATGTTCCTCACTGAGTTTGAACTGCTTCCAAGCCAAGGAAAAAAGTCAAGGATGCTGTTGGAGCTAGACTGAGTATCATGATGAGGCTGTGACTACGGAAGAAAACAGCAGGGCTCAAAGGTAGAGAGCTGGGGGCACTCCAAGATCTTGACACAGACCCTCCGAAAAGCTACTCCTGTCTCAAACTGTATTTTCATTGCTGTTCCTACATTCACCTTAACTGCTCTTGCTTCTAGTTTGCAGTGAGGCTGATGAGAAGCCTGTTCTAATGTTCACTTGGGCAGCTCTTTTTGTTCTAGCAGGCTCAGTCACAAAAAAACCAGAAACTAACATAAAACATTTCTCCCTTCTCCTTTATCTACAGTAAGAGTTTTCTCTTTGCTTTTGCTCCATTACTTAGAAAAAGCAGAAGAATATCCATGTCCTTACTCAGCTCCTCCAAATACTGGCACTCCTCATCCCAGAAGAGAGTCAGTCTTGCCACCATTCTCTCTTGGCTCCCAGCCCCACAACCTAGCACTGTGCCACTGTGGTTTGTTCAGGTGTCTATCTACCTGCCTTCCCATGGTCAGTGAAAAAAATGGTTGGAAAATGTGAGGGTGCTTGAAGGGCAGGGGAGCTTGAAGAGAGTATACAATGAAAACGCAGGTTCAAGTTCTGTCTGAAGGTATTTGTCCCTCACAATGCAATGTGCAGAGGTCAGGGAGCCAGGGCTGAAAAAGAAAATATGCCCAGGTAAGAGGAGCAGTCCAGCTATAGCAACACTGGGCTTCACAGTAGAGCCATTTACTCTGCTTCCCAGGATGTTACAGTGCTTAGAAACTCAGCATGATGCAGTGAGATGAACAAGATCCTTGGCTTAGGAGTGTTAATAGAAATGGCAAATGTGGTCTTTTTTTCCTTAAAGAGTGAGAAAGAGGGAGACAAGGAAGATTGTGAGAGAGAAATCCCTGAAACTTGATAGGAAATTCTTCTGGAAACAAAAGATGGTGAAAGCAGAGTGGATGTGGATGCGTGGGCTGCAAAGCAGGGCCCCGGTGTCAGGGAGCACTACAAAGGAAACCCAAGCCTGGGAACTCTGTCCAGGGATCCCAGTGACTCAGATTTCTTTGTTATTTTATGACACAAGATGTAAAGAAGTGTAGGCTGGGAAAATACTGTGCTGTGAACTTTACCCGGTTTTCCTCTTTGAGTGTTTCAGTTTCATAGACCTGGTCAATTTGTTCAAAGTTTTACACTGTTTAGTGCTCAGTAAGATTTTTAAGACAATCTCAAGCATGCCATATGAGCTATAAAGCAAATTAACCATAGTTAGTATTCTTAAAATCACTGATTGTTATATGAGCTTTGCAAATCAGAAATAATTAGGAATGACTAACTCGTGTCCTTTGTTCATCAGCTTAAGAGTTGTGAAGCACTTATGTCACAGGTCTTTCCTTAAAAAGAACATACTTAGCTGGGTAACCTCCAGAGACACAGGAAGTTTCTATCCTTTTCTGCCCCTTTTACAAGGGAATTTCTCCATAGGACAAAGTAAATGGACCTTAATTATGTGAGGGAATGAGAGGGAGCACAGATTCTGCTCTTTTGTTGTGTATTTGCAGTTCCACTTGCTTCAGCAAATGTACTTAGTGAAAAGTGTGTATGTGGCTGAGGCAGAATTTAACCCAGACATTTTAATTAAAGTACAAAGGGTTTAAGCTAGCCTGCAATATTTGCATTTGGTGATTTCTTAAAGATGAAGTAACCCACTACTTACAGGAATGCCATCTGCCCCGGGGAATCCAGTGACTCCTCTTTGTCCCTAGAGTGAAACAGCACAATTAAAATTATATTCTGCCAGCATTTTGCTTATTAGCTATAATATTTGATATTCAAAAGTTACCACTTCTCCTTTAGGTCCAGTTATTCCTGGGTATCCTCTTTCACCTTTGTGACCTTTGGGACCTTGCACTCCTGGGATCCCCATCAATCCTGGTGGTCCAGTGAATCCCTGTGATCCAAGGAGTCCTGGCTGGCCCTGATAAAAACAATAAAACAGCATTTACATAGGAACAGTTGTGATGCATGAAGCTGGATAAGTTATCACTGCTGCAATGGAGTCAATCTCTCAAAGAAAAAATAAACACAGAATTTCTTTCCATCCCAGTAGGCCAGGCTCTTTGATAAAAGTCATCTAAAACACCACACAGAGAAACTCCAGCAGCTGTGACTATATTGCACATGTGGTCATAAAATTAACACATGGATATTAGCATTCAAATCAATATTCACTACTTCAGTATTCATGGCCACTCTGTGGAAAAGCTGTTTTCTTTGGAATGAGGTTTCTCAAGAGTGATTCTCCTACAATGTATGATGCCCAAACAAGTAAAATATACTTTACTGTGAAATTTGCTTATTGGCCATACTTATTACAAGTGGCATCTGATATTTAATGCAGGAATTTCTGCCTCTTTAGTGACAATATTTCTATTCAGCAGTGGAGCCTGAACATAATGGGACAGGCATGGATCCACCCAGGTTGAAGAATTGCACACAGGGCTCCCTGGTCATTCTCCCTTCCAGTGCTGGTTTGGCTCTTCACGCCACTTCAACCATTGTTTAAAAATAATCCCTGTTGGCTGCCAACATCACAAGGCTCAAAAGGGGAAAAAACAATTTTGAAATGACACAGTGGTGGTTTAAGTAATGGATTGTGACAGTATGTCTGAGATCTGTGAACTGAAGTATTTGAATATCTTTCCAGACGTAGCATCACTGAAGGCACACATGTTTCGCATGTACTCACTGCACTGATGACATTAATAGTACATTGCTGCAATCTTTTCTGGACAAATATGTTTTAAATGCGGCAAAGAGACATTTAACAAGACATTCAAATTAAGCCAAATCTAATGAAAGTTGTTTTTAAAATGCAATTAGATTTTTTACAGAGACCAGGCTGGAACAGCTCCAGTATCTCCCAATGGAGAAGAACTACAACAAACCATGAACAAACACATATATATTTATACAAAAAGCTGATTAAAAATACTACCTTCTTTCAGTATAAAATACTTACAGTCTTGCCCATGACGTCAAAGAAAGAGCTAGAAGCTCAATGCAATTCCTGTTTCAGAGTTCAACTTCATTTTAATGCCACTGAGGTGGAAAGAGGGCAGTGTGGGGACTTGAAAAAAAGAAACCTGAAGATAGCCTAATTTCTTTGGATCAGTAAGTTGTACCAAAGATACTGAACAATGCCTTACTGATATTAGGCAAAATTTATTTTAGTCTCATAGACCCATTTGTGATACACTTTAAAACCTTCATAGTCAACTACTATCTAAAATAAACATTTATCTGTGCTACAGTTGTCTTCATACCACATACCCCAAACCAATGCTATGACTGAAACACAGCTTACTTGTAGCTTCAAAAACAAATCAAGTTTCCACACTGCTTCCATGTAAAATGGTTGTCTCAACACTTGGGGTAGGTTTTATATTTTAAATCTAATTTTATCACATCATATGAGTCCATACTGAGAAACTGACACAGCCAAACAAAGTACAGAACTGAGTGCAAGTCCTTAAGACTAGGAATGAGCCTATATGAAGGCTGAATTACAGGGAGCTCCTTGGGACAAGCCACCAGGATGGATCTTGTAGACCTTGCACATACAGTATGGATCTTTTGCTCTGCTGCTATGACTGATTTGATAAGACTGATGGTTTAGGAGCAGTGCCAAAGGACAACATGAATTTAAGTGTTTGAGCTGTCAGTGTGAAAGAGAATTCCCTGTGCTTACAACCAAACCTGACTTTATACAGCATCCCCCCCTTTTAAACCAAGTCTGCTCATGTGGAATATTAAGTGCAAAGAGGCCAATGTCTTTTCAGATTAACAAGGAACAAAGATTACAGGAATACATCTAAAACATAAAGTAACTCATGTTGGCATGAGGCATATGAATCTGAACAAGCAGCTGCTCATTTCCCTATGTCAGGCACCACTGGCTACTACAAATGCATCTACCTCCACCAGCAGTAGTTTTTAGCTTTTTCAAAATGCAGTGAATTCCTAAAATTTGTTTTGTGGAGGTGCAGATCATAGTAGACACATTTTCTGAGTTGCCTGACTCAAATGGAAACATGCTGTTTAAAAGCAGTAGAATAATGACTTAAATCTGAACCAGAATTTTTCAGTGTGAGTTCCAAGATCAGGAAAAAGAAAATCTTTCTTATGCCATATTTTCTCCACTTTTCTTACCTACTATGGGTCAAAAATTAAGTATACAGGAATTCACAAAATACATATGAGCATGCCCCATGAAACTGCCTTTTTAGGGAAATAGACAATTCATTCATTTAAAAAATTGAGCCAGTGATCTTTTTGTTTTTGTTTTTGTTTGGCTTCTTTTGGAAGAGCAATATAAATTCTCAGGTAAATATCAATCAAAAATATTAAAATATTTAAATTTTATTATAAAGCCTTTAAATATTCGATGCTTAAGGTAGTTTGTTCTTCCTTATGCACTCAAACCTAAAAAGGAACCTTTAAAAAGCTTGAAAAAGGATGGAATCATATCCATTAAAGAACACAGAAAAATGATTCAAATTCATTTGTAGAGATTTGAGTTGGTCCAGTTGCATTTAATTTCTGAAAATAAATGTTTCAGTTGCTTCTGCAAAGAAAGGATTGCATGGGTTCTGTGCACTGAAAATGCCACTTCATTTTTGGAGTACCTGAAAGCCAGAATAAATTACTTAAATTCCAAAAGCCACTCATCCTCCTGAGATAAGCAAGCCATCTCTTTAGTGCCCCTCTACATGCTTTTAGAAGGAAGCTGTCTGCAGGTAGAACACATAAAGCTTTTCATTGCAGCTTCTGACAAAAGGCTGGTTATGTAGAGAATTTTCAAATCTGTGCCTGGCTTTCTATAGGGACCATGCAGCACTGTACAGTTCAGAGGTGGTATTCCATGGTTACCTCCCTAATTCCTACATCAGATACCACTCTCCCACTTCCAGTCCCATTTTCCTGTCTGGTGTGGAGGAAGAAATAAACAAGGAAGGGAAAACATGGAAGAGGACTGGGCATCAGCACCCCTTCTCCAAACTTTCCTGGTAGTTATCTAGTAGTTTGTTTGATGAGGAATATGGGTTATTTAATATAAAGACAAGAGAATAGATCCTCATAGGACTAGTTTAACACAAGGCTAGAGTCAGAGCTAGGGAAATACTTAATATCATGACAATGTTTGTGTAATTCTTCAGCCAATTAGTACCTTGGCTTGTTAACTGAATTAACTTTGTTAACCTTCGTTAACTCAGACATGTCAGCTTTAACTCTGCTTTCTTTATCTTAGATCTTTTGTTGGACAAGTATGTCCCCTTTTCATTAGCAAGTGACCTAAGAACATTCTCTCTTTGGCAAAGGTCACCGGGGAGATTTAAGCAAAGACAATCAGTTTGAAAGGTTCAGTCAAACAAAGCATGACTCAATTCTTAGTCCCAAATACCCCTGTGTGTCAGAAATCCTAGAAAATTCTCTGAAGCTGTAAAATTGTGCTTTACTTAAAATTTCCAGGTCTTAAAAAAGAAACAAAAAAAACAAGCCTAGGGGAAGATATCATCCATGTTATAATTTAGAAAACTCATGAAGTACTTTTTTGCACATGCTCTGGCCCATAGTGCCCTTCCCATTTCATTAGGGTGAACTGGACCTCTTCCCTAATCCAGAGCATGGCACCATTACCCCATGTCACCTACCAGAGGCCAGTGCTAAGAGGCTCACTGAAGTGTGTGTGGAATGCCATGGTCAGCACTCCTGAGAGAGTGCATAAAAAGAAAAGGAAAAAGAGGGCTGAGGGAATATCTTGAAGATTAACAAGAAGTTCTTTCATTGTTTTTATAGAAAACTTCCACAACTGCTTAGTTGAATTACAAAGCTCTTAATGTCAGGACACACACCTAAACAGGCAGTCCCTGCTTTGCTCTTCCTGCAACTTCAGACTGGAAGAGGTCTCACAAAATTATTGTGGCCAGCTCAGATATTGTGCAAAAACTATTTACAGAGAGGAGTAAAGGTTGGAAAATTAGAAAGCCTGGAGGAAATCTCCCCAGAAAATATTTGCCATGTTATATATACATTGTCCTGTGTCCACTGACACGCATGAAAGAAAATGCTGCCAAGGTTGTGATTGAATTCAGTAACTACATTTTGCAATTAAGTACCAGTGGATGTAAGAAGATCCTGATCAGACTTTTAAATTCGTACTCAATGTTCATGTTTTGCAGCTTGAACTTTAATTTCCAGTTCTTTCATGATCAGTCAGATGAAAGAAATGTCATGCTGCAATACTTTCTTCCTTCTAATTTACTGTTAAATTACAATGTGGAAACAAAATTGACAGAGGAGGGTGTGCTAATTTTGAGAGCAACCAAATGTTGCTCTCTTTGCTATACAAAGAGAGATGCAATAAATGACAGTACCTGCTCCAAAGGTTTTAAAACACAGGAATTATGAATTGGTGAGAAATCCACCTACCAGGGTGGAGATACAAAGATGGAAGACAACTGTTGATTTGCAATAAAGAGGAGACAGAATCAGATTTTCTACAGAGCTTCCCAGCCACTGAGCCCATTTCTCCATCTTTCATTACAAATAGCCATTTTGCAATTGCTTCTGGTACATGGAATGTGATGATTCAGTATTCCCCACATGGAAACGAGCCTTGTAGACCATCATTTCTTTTAACAGTGGACAAAAAAAAAAAGGAGGTTAATTCCCTGACATTTTAAAAAGGTCAGTGGTGAAAGGACAAGTTCATTTCCTGCGGGAAGGGTGATCTGACCCTAACAGACAAGTTGGAGCTGGGATTTTTTGTAAGAGCTCTTAGTCTGGAACGGTCCCTGTAAGAACAGATGTGGAAAGGACGTGACAGCAAGGACCTCAGTGCACTCCTACTCAGTGAGACCAGCAAGCGGAACAGACAGCAACTCAATAGGGAATAAAATAATTTATAGGGAAAAT